ATCCAATGCCACAAAGCTTTAGATCTAACCATGTGTCCAAGCTCTAGATTATTCCAACATTTATCCCTTAATTTGCATTTTATTTTAATTAATTTTAGTGGGGTTTGGAAGCTGCACGAAATTGGGCCCTTATTGGACTCAGTGTGGGCCCCACAAATGGTTTGGACTGGTTCAAAAAGATGGCTGACAATCTAAATCACTATCTCAAACTATATTCACTAGTAACATTCCATAATTTTTTCAAACCTCCAAAAATTCATTTGTCTCCATGATAATTCACCTTTTTAATATGAGAGCATGATCTGGAAATTTTTATAATTTTTTGCCACCTCTAGGTATTTATTTTAAATTTTCTCTATTATGCCTCTATTAGTAAATATGAGGAAAAATAAATTTCTAAATTAATTCTTGAGATTTCAAGGCCTAAAACCAATTTTATAAATTCAAATAAATATTTAGGTGAATTACCATTATTTTTCCAAATTTATTGAGGCCTCTAACTAATTTAAATAATTATTCTCCTCTGATTTTCCAATATTTTTTTGAAAACCCTCTATTTACGGAAATTCCGTAATAATTTATTTTCACTATAATTTCACCTTTCAAACCTCAAACAAGTTTTTAAAACCTCATTGCATAATTTTCCCATTTTTTGGGAATTTTTTAGAATTTTTTTCAAATTTTTCTGTTTTCCTTCTTGGACCTATAAATTTAAAAATGCCGGTCCAGACCCTTTTTGTGTTTCATACCATGTTTAATTTTCTTAGCTAATCTTCTTTCCTTATTGGCCCTCAACCAAATTTTTATTTCTTCTATCAATACTAAATTTGGCGGCATGTGACAAACTTGATATTGGCAATAAAGTTAATGAAACATGTATAGCTATTACTTATAATAATATAACACAATATTTGAGTGCTTTGTTTGGATTTAAATTTGATAAGAAGAAAGGCAAAACTCATTAGAAGACTTTAAAGAAGAATTTTTCTGAAAATTATATCTTCAAAGGGGTATGAGTGGCTTTTCATGGAGCTCATCCACTAATGGATGGGAAGTTAAGGATCAAATCTGTGATCAATTAAATGAGGTAAGATTAATAAATCTTTCATTTTATATTCATACTGTTTTGAGGTTAAATCAAATATGTGAATCATATTGTTTTTCATTTTAATATTCGCGTGACTTTCCTTATAGACTTTGCAATGAATCTTTCATTTTGATATTCATAGTATGAAATGTATTTTTTTTGGTTAAACCAAAAGCAGTGCTGGAGGAATATATCTTGCCCAATTATGAAAAGATATTAGCTCTTTATGAAAATATAGAGCCAATGAAGGTGATGGTGATAGTCCTTCAAATTTGAAAAAATGATGATGTCTAAATCCTTGAGTTTGTTGATTCTATCAACGAGGTTGATCAACTTATGTCTCAAAATGAAGTGACTTTAGAGAATTTCTCAATCAATATGGATTATCCCCCACTTGATGACCACTCTCCAGAAGCAAATAGTAAGAATAGTAAAAGGACCAAAAAGAGTGCTACATCTAAAGATAAAGATCCTTTCCAAACACATTTAATTGTAGAGAAGATGGAATTCATTGCAAATGCTATGAGTGAATCGAATAAAATATTAAAAGATAGATATGTCCTACAAATTTCATGAATGATGTGGCTAAGCTAAGGCAATATTCATGTCCTCCTTGAAGACGATTGTTGATGCTGGATGTGAAGAAGACAAGCTCTCTAAAATTTATTGCTTCCACGTGAATGATGTGGCTAAGCTAAGGGCAATAATTCAATGTCCTCCTTTGCTGCTCAAGCAAGTGATTATGGAAATGGTTTTGGGCTCTTAGTGTGTTGTTGATTGGAAGGAAAACTCTCGTTGTAGGCACTTTGTAAACACTTATTTTGGTGGTTGGTTCTTTTTGATGTTTTTTGTTTGTCCATACAACGGCATTTGATGGCATTTATGCCATGCTTAGTGATATTTTGTAGGCCATATGAGGGCATTTGCTAATATTCTATGTCATGCCTGGTGATATTTTGTAGGGCCATATGATAGCATATGCTGATATTTTATGTCATACCTTGTCATATTATGTTATATTATATAGTCTATTTTCATTATCTTCAAACTTGCAAATATGATTATTATTAGATAGAGAAAGACGTGAGTTCTTGTTTTTCATGGTTCTTGATAATTTTGAGCACATCCTTGTACGTTGTAATATCTATTTATAATATATAATTATTTTTAAATCAGAATAATATTTATAATTACTATTGTATCTATATTGTGAGTATAATTTTACACATAATTACAATTTCAGTTATTGGATATATAGTAACTATTAATTACGTATTATCATTATATTTATTTAATTTTGCCAATTATAAATTTTTAATCTCATATATTAAATGTTATTTATAATTATATTTTATTAATACTCTACAAAGTTTGCAAAAAACAACTTAAATAATATAAGGGCACAATTGTTCATATAAGAATATTTTCCTTCCCTCCCTTCCTGAATCAAACAAGATAATATTAAAATTCCTCTCTTTTAGAATATAAGTTTGAATATTAGGAAGCGTATTTATAAGGAGGGCTTTAATCCTCCCCTCATCTTGTATTAATTCAAACCAAGTAATATTAAAATCCCTCGTCTTCTTATCATTTTCTTTTCCTCCATTAGAATTCCTCCACTCCCATCCCCTCCATCGTTGCAAACACATCGTTGCTTTATGTTTGATGTGAGAGAAATGGAAGGGAGGGAAGGAAAAGGAAAATTTTAATAAACTTAATTTTAAAATTAAAGAATTGGGATTAAAATTTTTTTCTCCCTTCCATTTCTCTCATACCAAACAGAATGTTAAGGTTTGTCTTGCCTTAGAATGTTATTATTTTATAGAATAAGTAGAGTCAAATGAACTCAAGGCCATTCATTGGAGGTTAGCAACACTAATACAAACAAAACATATGTCCTGCGAAGAAGGCCTCCTCCTAGGGGATCAAATTTCTCCTCTACCCAAAACTATGTTATTTGGATGTTAAACTTGAAGGCTAGCATTTTTTTTACTAGCATTCAGTATCGTAAAATAAATTTTTACTGCAAATGATACTTAAAATATTTTTTTAGTAATATCTAGTATCTAGCATGCCATACTTTGAACTATTTTTTCAGTAACACTCAGTATTTTAAAATAATTTTTCAAACTGATATCTATTACTTTGAAGTATTTTTCAATAGCATTTATTATGTTTACTTTTCAAATAGCATTAAGTATCGTGTAAGTTGACATTCAGTATTCTTTCAAGCACATAGTATTCTAAACTAATTTTAGGATATTGAGTATTATTACATGAAAAATAATGCCGAGTATTGAAGGCATTAAAAATCATTTTAGGATATGAAATGCTACTGAAAAAATGATTTAGATTGTAGCTTGCTAAATATTAGATACTACTAAAAAGTATTTTTCAAGTGTTAAATGTACTGAAAATTATTTTAAAATACTGGATGCCACTTAAAAAATATTTCATAATAAAATGTTGATTTAAAAAAAAAAAAAGAAGTCGCAACCTTTAGCTAAGGGTGTGTTTGGGATCACATTTGGACCCCCAACTGATTTCTTTGCCGACAAAAAGAGCTTTTTGATTCGGGATGTATTTGGAATCACATTTTTACAATTTGACTTATTTATGCAAATGAGCTTTTAGAGAGAAGCTTCTTTTTATTGCTTTTACCGATAAGTCCAAGAAAAGCTTTTGGAGTATATTGATCTTGGATGTCTATATGTTTTTTTTTTTGTTGACTGGGAAGTCAAAAAATGAGAAGAAGAGGCGCAGCGTATGCCACTATTATATATATATATAAATATATATATATTTATCCATAAATATATTAGTATTTTTTTATTTCTTCCTAACAATAAATTAAATTTCTTTATTTTAATAATTTTATTTTTAATACTTCTTTTAAAATGGTCATATTATTATATAATATTATATATGTATTACTAAATAAAATTTTTGTCCTTTTAAGTCATTATGCATCTAAACTTATTTTTCTATTAATTATCCAAACAAGTTTAAGCTTTTCAAGCTTTTCAAACTGGTTTTTTTACAAAACACAATCTAAACACAAATCACATTATACTATTTGACTTTTATCCAATCTGACTTCTGTGAAAATCAGATTAAAAAAATTACTTCTACCACTACTAATCCAAACACATTCTAAAACGGTATGGTTTTGCTGTTTCGGGGGTAGAAGTGTGTGGTAAGGGTAGACTGTAGGGCTGCACATGGGCAGGGCAGGACTCTTGCCTGATGCCTAGCCTGAAGAATGAACGGGATGGAAAATGCAGCCGTTACCCAGCCCTACCCATGAAAAGCCTTATTAAGTTCGGGCTGGGCAAATACGGGCTGGGCAATGAGCTGGGCGGGCTTTCATGCCCAATAACTTAATATACTACATTAATTAACTAATTATTTATATCCTTTTAAATAATTTAATGTAACTTTATATTAAAATGGCAACTTGGCCTTAATTTTGTTATTAATAATTAATATACTATGAAACTATTTTTGTAGTAGCTAGGAGGAGTGGACTATGACAAAAAAAATTGTTTGTATATTTTATTAAACTTAATTGTTTTTCTAGTTTCTAACTCCTAAAATCACTCAAAAATAAATAAGTATAATGAATACTGAATATTGATGCAACAATATGTTTGATTCAGGAAATAAATATGATGCAAATAAAATATATAAATAAAATTATATATATTATTGTGGACAGGGTCAAATGAGTAGGGAAATATACCATGCTCGATGCCCAGTTCTGTTTAACAATTTGTCCAATCTGAACATGCCCAATAATTCTTTTGGACCAGTTTTTTTAGGGCTGATTGGGTATTTTTTTATGGGTTTAGACGGGTATTGCGGGCAACTGGGCTTCATGAACACCTTTAGGTAGAGGCGGAAACCCCTTCCCTCTCTGCTTCCCGGTCTCTCCCCCTTCTTGCGTCTCCCTGCTTCATCGTGGTCGGTGCCTTAGTGCTTAGTCGTCGCCACCGTTGCCTGGTGCACCTCCAGCGGCCACCGACGACGCCGCCGTATTTATCCCAGGTTCCGTTGTCTTACCTTTCTTTGTATTTTTTTAATTTTGCAAATCTGTTTCACTGTGGAGCTCTGAGCATAGTGATGAAAAATGAATGTGGTCTTTTTTCACTTGTACACCTCATCTTATACTGAGCATCTTCCTCTTTTCTTTCATGTTTTGGAACTTGAAGAAATATGTTAATTGGTACGCTGTGCCAGTTACTGAATCAGCTATGTTCATGAATGAAATACAAGAAGGACTAGAGGGAGAACTTTACTTTTGCATAATCCTTTGTCAGGGGTATAATCTGTTTGGAATTTTATGAGATATGATAACACGGTCACAATCGAATTATAAAATACTGCAAGCATGTAAACATCTTTCCTATTCAATATTTTGAATTTAGCTTTCAGAGTTACCTTGTGAAGCTGTTTGTCACCAGGTTTTGTCCAACATTGCTTAAGTTGTATTACGTTGCATTACGAGTTTTACAGATAAAATGAGGTCTCAACAACCTCTGTTTAACCTTTTTCAAAATAATAGAAAACTAAGCAATTTGTATTTCAGTAATTTTAGTAATCTCTTAAAAACAAATTCTATATAATTTCCCTCTCCTCAAGTTATCTTTTAGAAAGATGATTAAATGAGGTGTCGGAGGAAGCTTTTTGCCTTCTTTCGGTCCTTCCTGGGTGTGTTGAGAAATCTGATTTGAAAACTTACATATGCAAAGTAGTAATTTTCTGTGTGATGAAATTATTAAATGAGGTTACGGAGGAAGCTTTTTTGCCGGTTGAAGAAGTAATTTTCTGTGTGATGATATGGGCTGATCTCTGTGCGATTAGCATTTCTTTGGCTTGGTTTATATGGTTAGGCCACTGTACTTCACTTTCTAAGATTGGGTTTTTTTGGATTGTGGGTTCTTTCTTGCCTATTCAGTTCATGGTGTATTTGCTAGGTTTGTTGATTAATTTTCCCGGGGATTTTGGTGCTCTGTTTAGCAATCATATTGTGCTCTTTTGTTCATATTATATTACCTCTAGTTCTGTTTGCTCATGAGGACTTTTTGGCTTTCTGCCATTCACTGTTCTCTATTAATGGATGGATAATTCTTGTCTTCGGGAGCAAAAATAGGAAAGATGCTGTGTATTAAGGACTTAATGGTTTTTATCTTTGGTTTCTTATTTGGTTTTCTCTATATGTCCATACTCCATATGACTTTGCATTCTTGTTGTGTTTACAGTTTGATAGTATGATCTTGTATTTTTCATGTACGATGCTTTTTTTTGACGAACCTCCTTGACTGCTTCAAGCATATTTTGATTACATATTAATGCCTTTTCTATTCTTGTTCGTATAGCAAGAAGGGTGTCCATGGCTGCAGAGTCAAGCACCCAAGACTCAAGGAAACGGACATTGGAGGCATTGGAGAGGAGGCTTGCTGTTGCGAAAGCTGAGCTTCTCACACAACAGAAAAAAGGCAAAACGAATGTAAAAGGAGTTGGGAAACAACATCATACTGCAAGTTATACCTCTGATTCCTCATTGCTTTTATGTGGTTCGTTGGACACGACTCCCTTGAGCACATCTTCCAAGAAAGGTGTTTCAACTTTCAGTTTTCATGCTTTTGTCTTTTCCTCCTCTTTACAATGTTCCCCATATTTTTGTTAAACATTTAGAATATAATCTTGGTGGTCACTTTTGACTATGCTACCTCAGCCTCACTATATTTCAAGTTAAGCACTTATATTTGGTTGAAATTCTCTCTTCCTCATAAAATGTGCACTAATTCCATGCTTAAATGCACATGTTAAGGTCCTCCAATAGTTTTGTTATTTAAAAATTGAGGGTGATATAGATTTATATCTCCCAAATCAAGAAAAGTCCTTATTCTATTTTGATATTTATAAGATTACTTTCGGTATCCAAGAGAGCTGTAATATATGGTTTCTTCTAGTGGACAAAAGATGCCACTTACAGTTACACTATGTCAGATATTTGATTCCTTGGTTTAATGATGAATTTAATATTGTGATCATGAATTGAAATCCATATATAAATTTCGTAGAGCATAACTAGTCCTCATTATGTATAGTTTGTGTTGGAAGACTTGTTTTCTCACTTTTTATTTCATATGCATGTTGCTATGGCGGCAAAAATTTTGGGATTGGTTCTGGTTTGTTCATTTAATAATTTGCTTAATCTTGTGTTGGAAGACATGTTTTCTCACTTTTTGTTTCATATGCATCTTGCTATGGTGGCAAAAATTTTGGGATTTGTTCTGGTTTGTTCATCTAATAATTTGCTTAATCTTGTTTGTATAGGGAATTTCACTTTCTCTGGGCAGGCTACTTTACAAGGTACTTAAGAATCTATACCATGCTACCTTTCCACATGGGCTTGTGCGCACATATACATACTTATGTGTACAACAAACACACAAGCGCCTATATATGCATATAGATGTGTCAATATATTAAACATGCATTATATACATGCATATGAAACACATGCACACGCGGATGATTCTCTGTGTATGTCAGTGTGTCTATATATATGCTATAGATTTTCTATTTGTATAGAACAAAAGAAACAAGTAGGTTATTTTGCAGGCAATGAAGAAGATACTCCAGCTTATGCACAGTTCTCTCAAACTGTACATGAAAATCTCCTAGCAACTAAAGAAGAGGTATCCCTTTTTCTTGGACCCCATGTGTCAAGGTTAAGAAAAGCAGCTCAAACAATTTAGAAGAAATTCCCATTCGTTCAAAGGGAATAAAAGATTTCAAACTTTCACTATGTAACATTGTGTAATGAACTTTCGTCTTAACACCAATAAATAATTGTTAAATGAAAATTTTAATTAAGGATTTCAGAAATCCTTTTAATGTCTCTGGATAAACTGTAAGATTGCAATCAAGGGTTAGGACTAAACCAAAGACGCTTAGCTTTCTTTATCTTCATATTTCAAGGATAACACCCCCACCCCCCCGGCCTGGGGGTTTTATCATGAAAAATGGTCATATACTCTGCTAGTACTAGCCTGAAATTTTGATAATTTCTTGTCTTCACATGTCAAAAATGAACTCCCACTTCCATGTTCCCCCCCCCCCCTTCTTTTTCCTGACTTAGTTCATGCAGTTTTCATCTGGCAGAGAAAGTTCAGTAAATAGCATATTGCATGAGCTTCTTCAAAAGGGAGATTCAGCGTCAAAGTACATGCAAGGATCAAAAAGCATGAAAATCGATAACTGGATCCTTCTTGATAATCTTGTACAAAGATGTGGGGCATCTTTTGGTTCTCGTACTAGGGCTTTGCGAGTTCATTCAAAACGATCCAAGAAACACATGTCTATGAAGCAGCACAAAAAGCATGGTACATTGGACCTTCCTCGAGAGCTCCATCAGTAAGTTTATCTTTTCTAAACTGCTCATTTGGACAATCATTCATCCCTTCTAGGTTTTAGTATACCCTTAGGGCTGTAATCGTGGAATGTGGTATTATGTTGGTGGGGTTTCATATATACTTTTCTGTATTCCTTTTTGTCGCTTGTAGTTTCCTGTTGAGGACAAGCAATCAGTTCAACAACTTATGAATAATCATCATCATCATTCTCTAATTACTGCCACTTGAATTACAGATTTGATATTTTCAGGCCAATGCATAAATTATGGAAAGGTTACATGCAACAACTTCTCAATGCTACTGGGTAGTTATTTCTATTTTCGTCATTAACTAATTTCACATGCATTGTTCCTAAAATTTATAATTTATCTCTCTGGTGGTTCTTATAACTATGAATTGTCCATTTTTCAGGAAGAATCAAGTGGCTCAATGTCTTCTTGATGCAGATCTACATGGTGCCATCATTCTAGGTTTGAGAACACTTGCCTTGCTTATTTTGCATTGGATTATTACTTTTAATTGTATACACACGTCTGTTCATCAGAAATGCCGAAATATGCTGAAATACATGATCTTGTTTATCTCATATTGAACCATGTCAATATCTTTCTAAATTTATTATGGTGTTCTGTTGATGGGAAGTTATGTTGACTGATTAACAATAATATTCATTCTCTCAGAAGCTGCTGGGTGTTAGTATGTACATAGGCCATCAATGTACATCAAAGGCGGGTTAAAGTTGCTTTTTTTGAAGAACTAAGATTTATCAAGACCTACATTGTGTTCAAAACCGCTAATGATGTTTACTGTGTGAGTACAAAAGCAAGGATGATCTTATGTTGTTTAGGCTATGGACCAGGAGTTAGCCTTGCCTCTCTAAGGAGGGGACCCCTGATTTTTAACCCTCTCTCTTCACCTTGACCTCACTCAAGTATCAAGATTGCCTCAGACCAAGTGAAAGATTCACATGGGGGCAAGGAGGGTTCGCCCATGCCCAAAAAGTCTTTACCTCTAGGTCTGTCAGTACTCAAGCCTAGACGAAAGTTTCTGATAGGATTCTAGATAGGTAGCAAGGAGGAAGGAAGAAAAAGTGTTTATTAAAATATGAAATTAGAATCTAACTACAGATTAATAAAGATAGAGGACAATCTTTAGTAGAAGAAAAGCAAGGATCTTAAACTCATACTCCTAATAACCCTAAGTAGAATCTCCCAAAATTACACAATGAATCTCAAAATCTACTCTCTGCCCATCTCTACTAGCTTCTGCTTTATTTATAATATAAACAGATGTTAAGTAATAATAAATAAATTAGAAATAACCGACTACATCCTAACCAAATCCTAATTGAGATATTTATAAATAATATCTCTTTATAAATTGACAACTCCTAAAAATATAACAAACGGATCCACAAAGTTCCTCCACTTTCACCCACAATCCCATGATGTACGATACTCTATCAGTTTCATAGTCTATAAATCCTGAATTAAAAATTAATCATTAGAACTTCTGCAAAATATATTTAAGTATTTTGTATCTTTAAAGCTATGTTAAGATCGAAATTGTTTTTTTTTTTAAAAAAATCTATTTTACATCAAGAAAAAAGTCATTTCTCCGATTCTTTTTGGTCACCGTTACTCCTGATTAGTGGATCGACTTATTTAGTTCTGGTAGTTCACTAAAAGATTTTTTTATTTTGGAAGACTCCTATGATAAAATATTGAGTAATATCGTCTTAGCCTGCACCTCCACTATAGCTATATTTTTATCTTTTGAATATCACTCCCTTTAATGCTTCCGTTTATGCTCTGCAGTTGTGGAGTGTAAGGTAACTTCTCTTACTGGAGTTTGTGGCATAGTGATTCGTGAAACTGCAGAAGCTTTTGGGGTAATTACGGAAGGTAACAAATTTCAAGGTAATCCTTCCGCCATTTTGAGTTATCTTGAACTCAACTGATGCGTCTCATTCCATATATTTTACAGGCTTTCCATTTCTTTCTTATTTAAAGGCACTACATAAGCCCCACATTGGTTGTATGTTAAAGTCATAGAACCCTTATTCTGTCATGAATATATGTAATACAAACCTTTCATTTCTAGGCTTTCCAAAGCTTTTAACTTTCTATGTTTTATTCTTTGCATCCTATTATAACACTTAGGGGAAGATATAAGAGAGCCAACAGCGGTTTATAGTTTGGTCAGGGCCTTGCTGACTTATTTGAGGGAGTTTTGGCCTTTGGGCCGCCATTTTGGCAGCTCTACGGTCACTCATCTGGTACATGCCCAGCCACCATCTGCAGGGGTAACCCAGCTACTTTCTGATTGATTCTTTGGCCTTTATCAACTCCAGGGCTTTTTCCATGCTGACCATTTTTTTTTTTCCTAAGCAAAACTTCAGTCACTTTTCTGATAATCCTCTAGCCACTTAAGTTGGTTGTTCTTTGTCTATCTTACTGTGCCTTGTTGTAGCCATTTTTCCTTGGTTGCGCATCATTCCGGCTACCATTCTCATCAAGCATCATAATGATGGCACTTTTCTCTGACTTCATACTCCAACTACTCTTCCCACTTTCACGTTATCCCAGTGGTTCTTTTCTCTAGTTGTGCATCTCTCCACTCCCTTCCCTTATGCAACCTTGTTCACCTCCTCTTAGCAATACTCTTAACCTACTATTATGGCAGTGTTTGATACATTATTTCAGCAGTCTTGTTTTTATGTCTTCCTTGGTGATGCTCTAACTTGGCAAGCTAACTTATGTTTTGCAACTCGCCATTTTGAAACCCTTTTACTTTTTTGTATACTCTAGGTCAGCTTTTAGCCTTTCACTGCTGCCTCATGTAGAAAAGGCACTATGTTGATAATATATTGTCATAGGCAGAGTACTGGCTTATTAATGTCATTAGCTAATTCTTATTATTAAACTTTTTTAAAATGAATTATTTTCCTATTCTATTACGTCTCCATGGAATTCTTTCATTCTCAAGGGTTGCAATCTTTGTAACAAGCTTGGTGTATTCAGATTATATTTTCGCCGGTCAAAAAAAAGAAAAATTCAGATTATATTTTCAGGGAAGTTATCGAATAGTTATGTCTTTCTACTTAAACCAACTACGCTTCCTAGGTATTGGTTGCATCACAAGCTTTGCAAATTTCATAATTGTGAATGTAGCACAAATGAATCTTTCCGAGGCATGTCTCTATTTTGATCTTTCCATAAATTTACTCATGCTTTTCTTTCACAATTGTAGATTGTCAATATGTATAATAGTGCTGTGTATTTTCAAATGAAATGTAAGTCATAAGCATGGAAAATGCATCTTTGGGATTAACCATGATATGAAAATGTTTGCTTAGATTGAAATGTTCTCTTTTGAGTTATGTTTTTGAGGACCAGAAGTGCTAAGATCCTTTACTGGGAATGGTGAACAAAATCTTTTTATATGTTTCTACTGCAATGCATGGACAAGATTGATTTTGACTAATTTTAAAATGATTAAACTACCAATACTTGGATGTTTTATTTGACATGCCAATTTTTCGTGTACCCTACTTAAATGGAAAAGCCCCAGCAATTCCCAGACAGAATATATACTCGAAATATATAAGACTAAATTCTACAACGTTGAGGTGATTTTCCCGTGGAGATTGAAGAAAGGGAGAAAACTACTGAAAAGGGCTAGAGCTTGACTTGGTATTTTTGTAACAAGTAAAAACTCTACAATAGAAAAAAGGAGCATTGTGGGGCTAAAGTTTATACAATCTATCTTATTAATTACATTTAATTCTAACGTTTCCCTTTCGTCTGTTTGTCAACTTGCAGTTATTCCAAAAAGGATTTCGGTATTTGTATTTAGTGTTGATTGCTGGAAAGTCACTCTTTATGGGGACAAACTTGCTTCAAGAAAGTTGGGATCGTGATATTCTGATTTCAGGTAATATATTGAAGCTATGAAAAGTATATTCATTCTCTGAAGTGTGAACGCTTAGGTATAAATAAGTTTGAGAGATAGACCAAAAAAAAAAAAAAAGAGATATAGACAATAGAATTAGGAATTTAACCTTTTAAGCCACCAGTGACTTGTGACAGTGGAGACAGTGAATCTAAATTTTGTTCCACACTTTGAAACTTACATGCTTTAGGCACTGACGATACCAGCTTATTGGATAGAGAGATTCACTTACACCAACCTTAACTCTGCAAAACATTTTGGAACTTTGTGTGGTTCTGGAAGAATGTGTTCGTAACTTGAGACAAGCCTGACTGTAACACTGTTTGATTGTTAACACTGTAGATAAATTTAAGTATTCATTGTGATAATTAATGTGCAAATTCTTATAATTTCAATCAATTTTAAATAAGGTCTTTATAGGTTTTTTTGTTTCTTTTTACTAGGTCCTTATGCTTTCATATGTTTTTAAATTAGGTCCTTATATTTATTTTCTTTTTATCAGATCCTCGTATTTTCACTTAAGTTTTAATCGTACCTGTGTTTTGTTAATTTAATTTAAAATTAATTAAACATATAATATTGAAATATAAAATATTAATAATAAATTTAAGTTAATAGTTATTTATTGAAAATTAAGTATTATAATTAATTAGCAATTATTAATTAATTCAAATAATTAATTAATTATAAATTAATTACAACTATATTTTTTAATAAATTATATTAATATCATTCGAATTTTATAATTATAAAAATAAATAAAATTTATAATTATAAAATAAACTATATAAATATATGTTAATTTAAAAATTAAAAGAATATTAAATAAAATTATTATAATAATTTATTATTTATAGAATATTATTGTTTATAGACTAATATCAAATAATATTATACTATTTTATATTTATAGACGAATATTATTGGAATTTATAAAATAAAGAACAAAATTTGAAGGACCTAATTAAAAACATTCCAAAGTATAAAGATTTGATAAAAAAGAAAAAAAAAATAACTAGAAGGACTTGGTTTAAAATTGGTTAAAACCATAAGTATTTGGATATTATCTCTTTTATTTTAATTTTTTTTTTCTTATTCTATATGAAAGATTATTCAAGAAAAGAACACACTGATAAGTGTCTTGTGTGAGAGTTTGATGTGACATCTCCATTAACAGAATTAAAGAAAAAGAAACATATAGAAAGGTTTAAATCATGAAGAGTGACGGTTTGAGGGTGGTGTTTTCTGGTTTTGAACATTGTAGACTAGAGAATATTTGCATACGGATCAAAATTTAGTTGATCATTTCAATTATTCTTTTTTTTTTTCCACCTAATTCTCTATCATAAATATAGAGGTCATTTGGTGCGCACCATAGATCTGATAGAAAGGAAAAGCAAATCCGAAACATAATCATTATTGATGAGACATTTTCTTTATATCTCTGAACTAAACAAGCAATAAAAAAGGCTACTTTAAAGTAATAAAAATAGAGATACATTACCAAAGAAAAATTAATACTACCTCCGGTCCTATTTATAAGACCTCGTTTGTAAACTCTACAAATGAGGTCTTATAAATAGGACTGGTGGTAGTAATAGAAATGTAATAAATATTGCATATCTTATTTTTATTAGTGCAGAGAAAAAGTCTTCCTACAGGGTATGACCAAATTTCCCCACCTTTGTTGTTCAAACTGTAGACATTGTTCAGTGAGTGGTTCTTTGTTCTCCAGGGCTTGCCCATGATTGTATTGAAATTATAGTCAAATAGTCTCTGGAAGTGTTTGGATAAATATAAACCATAGTTTGAAAAATAACTCCTGGTAAAAAAATGATTTTGGGAATAGATTTTAAAAGAATAACTTTGGGAAAAAAGTAATTTTGATAAAATGAGTGTTTGGATAGTTGTTATCAGAAGCACTTCTTTTAGGTACAAATTATCAAAAAGTATATAAGTTATATGATAATTACATAAAAGATATATTTTAATTTATATTTTCATTTGAAGTAATAAATTTGCTCATAATTTTTTTTTGCCAACATAATAACTGATATATAAAAGGTATAATTAATTAATGTTAGTATGTGTATAAATACTTATAAAATATAAGATTAACTATGTTTTCAGAAAAATGAATATTGTTTTGCCAACAAAAAATATTATTTTACTTCAAAGATTATAAACATGAAATGCTGATATAATGATTATTGTAAAGCATGAAACAATGTCAACTGGTTTTGAAAGTCGGAAATGTTCCTCCATACTTACCCATGCGCTTGTTTGTCTACGTGTTAGCGACCCCAATCATGGACCACTTTGGAGTTTCAAGCCTTCTGGCCCTCATAATAATTGTCCTAGGACTAGTTTTTATCCTCGGAAGCAAAATTTTTTCGTTTTTTTCAAAATCACAGTTTAGGATGTTGAAACGGTGATTGTGGTCCAAACCATAGTTTCCCAAAAAACGTAAGAGTGTTTGGATAGTTTTGGGTCCAAACCATGGTTTGGGATCTAAAAGTGCTTTTTTGATGGTTTGCCAAACATCCCCTCTACCGGGAAATGCATTTTTGGTTTTTCTTCCCTCTTTTGGAATGAAACTACTCGTAAAAGTATTGGAATCAATTCATCTGTACTGATGAGTTTTAAATGGAAATGTTAAGTTGGTGCTACTAAACTTCTATGACTCGTATGCTAATACCCACCTCTCGTTTTTTGGCTGGCAGACTCGTTACAATTGCATACGTGCAGTTGAGAAGAGAAAAATGGAAGAGTTTACAATCAGTAGTGAGTCCAGGGAAGAAAAGAATCATAAGACCCTCAAGGTTTAATCTTTTGTGGAGCAATCTATCATCCGAATCAGCGTAGTGATTGAACTGTCTGGGACACTGGCTTATGATTCATTGGGCGGATGAGGGTTATTCTGTGATTGAACTTGTTGTATTTACAGCATTATATCTTTAATTCAATCTTAATTGTATGGATTGAATTATCATGTAGAAAATAAAAACTAATATTCATAACTTACTGGTCAAGTAAAAATTTTGGTACAATTTCATGTAATATCTTGATTTTTGGAAGGCAATTTAGGGCTGTTTTGTTTAAGCTGAAAAAAAAAAAGTCATTATTGTTCGATTTAAAGATTTTATGAAAAATGATTAATTCAATAGAGATTTTGTCAAAAACAGAAATTATTTTGTATTTTGGATGTCATAATATCTCCAAGCATCTGTTTATTAAAAACTGTTTATTATTTAATTATATCTTTATACTTGTATGATATTCTCAAAATAACGGGTAATCTGTTTTTTAATATATAGATTTTGATTTTTTTGGAAAATTAAAACTAGCACCGTAAAATATTATAGAAAATATTATAAAACTGAATTTTTTCAGGTTAGGGTGCTTTAAACACTTACAATTATTTTCGGAGCATCCTAAATATTCTGGTGCTGTAATTTTTGTCCGTACCCTAAACTTGGAACTTTTAACCGAGTTTTGGTAGATCATGGGGCTATGAGAGGTCTCCCTCTCTTTGAGGCGCTGCTCCGTAGAGACGATTGCCGAAACTTTGATTGCTCAGGCGGTGCTCATCCATTCGATCTTCGTGTTTGTGTGATTTCTTTAGTCTCTTGTCAGGTTTTATTGGAATTTATGAGGCTTCGTACAGCAACTTGTCCTATGGCGTGAATGGTTAGTTCTTGGTTTCTCTGTTATTGCTGGTGCGATTCGGTCTGCCACTGGTTCAGCGTTCTTTCTTCTCTGGGTTTCCCTTGTTCTGGTTTTCCGGTCATCCATGTTAGATCGGTGTTTTTACTAGGTTAGAACGTTGGTTGCTTTCTTTGACTGAAAATGTTTCTACCTGTTGTAAGTGAGAAGCATATTCCATATTGTCGTGAACACTTGCATTCTTCTTAAGGCTCTGGGTGATAAAAAGTTGCATGATGTTAAGCTTCAATCCCTATTTCGTTTCTAGTAGCATCTCAAGGGTATAATTCGTATTTTTCAACATGTTCAACATACGTTTATTATCTTCTTCAGCGACCCAAGAGATCAACTAGCAATTTTGCACCAAGGAACTCGGATGTTACAGGGGTTACATTCTTGCTGTCTGTCATTGGCAGCCAGATGTTCCTTGGAAGAACAACGAAATATAATATAAAAATGGTGTTTAGGGTTAGGATTTGTATAGAGTTTCGGATCAACACAACACCATTTGAAATTAAAGCAAGGTAAAATCTCAAGAGGTGGGAGCATAAATCTTTTAAAATGACATATAGGACGGTTTTACATTGAGAGCCGCATTGGTTTGGTTTTTCTCTTATTAAAATAAGTCAGCAATAAATGGCAATTAAATATGTTAATCATGACGCATTTGTACACGTGACAATTTCTTTAGTAACAATTACTTATTGGTTCGTGAGATCTCTGCCTCATCATGTGACAGTACTGTGTTCTCATTATCATATATCGGACGTCATATATTTAAAAATATGTACTAATGAAGTGCTCCACCTGCAAGTCAAGGTGATGCAATTTGTTGCGGTTGATCATAGAATTTTATCTCTTTTTTTTTTTTTTATTGTAATCGATAGTCCCTATGAGATTTGGTCATAAAAACGAAAAATGTTTTTGATGACATTAATAGAATTTTTTTCAGTTTATCATCATCCAAAGTTTTAAACTTTTTGAATTAAATTAAAAAGCTAAAAATGGTTTTATACTATAAAAATTGTTCAAATCAATCCTACATAGCCGAAATAGATTGATCTGAAAAACACTGTGCATACAAAAAAGAATCTTCAAATGAATGTATAATCTCATCTCAACAATACTTTCATTTTGAATTATACATTTTTCACAAAGGTTAAGCTCTATGTCAATTTCCATATATAGATAAAAATAGATGCAAACCATTTTTTTTATAAATCTGATCAAATAAGCAATAAGACATTTTAAATGATTTACAGCAACATCTACATGCATATCAGTAGATTGTAGGATTTTTTTTTAAGCACATGTATCTTTTTATTAAAAGTAATTTTATTAAGATACTATCAGATATCTAATGTAGGTAATTTTCCTAGCAGATTTTCCAACAAAAATACACACACACCATTACAAATATTCATGCATCTCACTATTCTTTCCTCAATGCATAATGGGCTCCGCGCAGTAATTAGTGCTAATATCATTTCAGGAATGACTGAAGCTTTCCAACGGCGACAACAGTCCATACTTTCTTCTGTTTGGTAAGCAATTAAATGCATATACGTGTGTGTGTACAAATATCAATGGCAAGCCACGTCAAACAACACAAAGAAGCCACCTTCAATTCATTAAAATCTTACTTCTTTGACTCTGAATTTCATTTCACTATGATTCGAGTTTTCAATCATTCCACCTTTCAACCAACTTGTTCAACGATTTTGCGGATGAACCAAATGTACCACTTGCGGATTCAGCGACGTTTCTCATCTTCAAGCTTCTCTCTCTCATCTCTCTGCCTTTCTCCGATTCCATCAGTTGTCTCACTTTCTCCTCCAAATCGTCACCTTTCACGAACCCATCTTCGTCTCTGTGCTCCAACCCTATTGCCATCTTCATGTAAGCACCAGCAAATTCCTATTCATGCGCTGCTCGGCGTATAGAGGCCACGCAATCATCGGCACTCCGGCCACCACCGCCTCCAGCACCGAGTTCCACCCACAGTGGGCCACGAACCCGCCGACCGATTCCTGTGCCAGCACCTCCACTTGTGGGGCCCACGACTTCACCACCATGCCTCTATCTTTGGTTCTCTCCATGAACCCACTCGGCAAAATCGATTCCAAATCGAACTCTCCTGTTGTGTCCAAAGTCTGCTTCGTTCTCTGATCAATGGGTGGCCTCTTCACCACCCACAAGAATCTCTGCCCACTCTTTTCCAATCCATAAGCGATCTCCTTCAATTGTTCTATTGACATCGAGCCGCGGCTTCCAAAACACAAGTAAACCACGCTTCGGCTCGGCTGCTTCTCAAGTCACGACAAACAGTTCTGACTTTTTCCACGATCTTCTGCTTCTTCTCCTTCTCCTTCGTTTCCATATTTAGGCTCTGCAATTAGAGGACCTATGTAGTAAACAGGAGGCGCTTGCTTTGGATCCGGAAAGCACGCGCCTTCTGCTATAGCCTTAACGGCTATGGGCTCTAGCTCTTGAAACGTGTTAACAATAATACCACTTGATTTAGGAAGATGGGAACAGAAATATAGGAAGTCCAAGTAAACTGGATCGTCTCTGTCAAGCAATGGTTCAACCATGTTAAAGGCCTTAAGCTGGGGGTTAGCCGGGAAACGCAAGTCTATGGAGAGATCCTTGAAACTCTTCGTGGTTTGCTCATGAATTTTTGGAAAGTACGAGAAAGCAGAAAGAATAGCTGCTCCAGAGGTGAAGAAGTAGTAAACATGAATCCCAAGAGAAGAACCTATATTCATTGCTGATGTGCAGAACAGATCGATGACCAAAGCTCGAACATTGGAAGTTTGCGAGATTTCCTCAAGCGCTGAAGCCACGTTGGTGTCGTTGAGCCGAATGAATTCAAAGGCGGTTGCCGCACGGCTGCGAGGAGTGGCGGCCGGGCCGGTTCGACGGAGAGGAAAGGGAAACGGCGGAAGGAGATGGAGGGGTAGGACTGAGAGATGCGACGGATGTAAGAATCAAGGTAGGGTTTGTCAAGTAAGCCCGTGGTGAGGAGGATGGTGACGGAGAAGGTGTGGGAATGGCGAAGAAGAAGGAGCTTGCCAAGTTCAACCATGGAGACTTATGGCCTATGCCTGGTGCAGGATAGAGAACTATGGTTTGTTCCATGTTTGGAACGTAGAGATCAACGTTTTGCTGACTAAAGAGTGAGAGCACGGTACAATGGAGTCTAAGAGAGAAGACTAAATCATGAAGTAATGAAATTTACTAACTAGAGGGGATAGCAACCTGCAGATCAAGCTTTTTTGGTGTATGGACTACTCTTTGGCAGAAATTTAATAAAATATATATAGGGTTATTCAGTTCAATAAACAAAAATATTCCACAAGTAGTTATATTTACGATAGCAATATAATGAAAGATCAATAATTAAACATACCTGGTTAAACTTATTTGACAATTGTTGATGGACATTGGATTTATTTATTGCCTTATCAATTATCAACTACCATTAGACGACATGTGGTTTGGTGTGTCGAATATTTCTTATGAGATACTCATTTGGTGCCTTTATCGGGTAGAGTAAGAAGAAATATTTGGGTTCTATTTATCAAAGAATAAAAAATCAGACCAGATACTAAATGGATTGAGATAATAGGTTAAAAATTAGTGGATTAGATTGAGATCAAACTAGTCATATTAAAATAATATAATTTGAATGATAATAAATGAGTACTCATATTACAAAACACTCTTAGTATATATATTTTTTTTGTTGTCTTTCCATTTCTTCTTGTTCCCCCCCCCCCCCAAAGAAATCTTTCTTTTTTCTTGGAATCATTTCTTCTTCTCTCTCCCTTGTGACCGCTCCTCATTTTCCTCTCCAAACACGCATTGCGATGCAGCTTGCTCTTTTCCCATTCCTCCTTGAACAACCAACAAGGAGACGGAGTAGAGTTGCTTAGACACTAGAGTAGCATATTAACCTACTTGGACACGCATTCTTCATTTTGTTTCTCGTTCTCCGCTAAATTTCTTTCTACCTTCCTCATCTCTCTTCCTTTCTCAAATAGAAAGAAGAAACGCTACCATTTTTCCTCTCTGCACTTTATCCATCCCATTCTCTCTGTTATCTTCTCTCTTATCTTCTAGTCTTCTTAAAGGAAAATGACTTTGATGCTTCAAAGCAGGACGCGACAAACTTCTTCATGATCTCCTCTACTTCTACCTCTTGTCTGTGTAGTGTCCATGGCTTGTCCAGCGAATAGGATGTCCATGACTTCTCATGGCTCTGGTGAACAGTAAGAGTGAGGAAGAAGTTGAAAAAAAAAAGGGGCAACCGGGCAACCCACGCAACCCAACAGTTTGCTCGATTTTTATGGGTTATCCAAATTCATCCCGATCTGTTTCAGGTTGATTGGGGC